TGGTCATTGTTAGCATTCTCAGTGCTACCTTTCAGCTCTAAGACCTTGGTTTCCCGACTCTTCAGGCACTGAACCATAAGGCCATTCTCCCCACATTGAGACTTTGCCATCACTCACATTTTGTCAAGGCTTTAGGAACTATAAAGAATACTATTCAGTCTTAAAAAAGAGGGAAATTCTATCATTTGTGATGATGTGGTTGGAATTGGAGAACAATGCTAAGTGAAGTAAGTCAGGCATGGAAGATACCACATGTTCTCCCTTATATGTAGAATCTAAAACAACTGAACTCAGAAGCAGAGAACAGAATCACCATTCTACCCTGCAGAGGCTGGGGATGGGGAGATAATAGTCAAAGGATACAAAATCTCAGATGAGAGGAATTTCTCTTTCTAGTTCTATCACACAGCACGGTGAATATAGTTCATGAGAGAATACTATACATTTAAAACCGAATGAGAAAGTAATTTTCAAATGTTCTTACCACAAAAGATATTAAGTATTTGAGGTAATGGAGATGTTAACTACCTGGATTTAAGTATTCTGCATTACATTCAGAAATCATAATATCACTTTTTACCCTACAAAATTATACAATTATAAATTGCCAATTAACAAGTAGTAGTAGTAACAGTAGGTTAGTCGGTCAACCTTTTGATCCTATAAAGGGTGAAGAAACATTTTAAGACTCCAGCTACTAAACCCGACGCTGTTCCTCCCAACCATACTTTTTTCTCCAGTGGATATTATTCAAATATGGGTTAGGAGTTGAAAAGTGACAACCATATGAAAAGCCACATAATCTAAAATACCCTGCCTGCCATCCTTTCTCGGGTCTTCTTTAGAAGAATCCCACAGACACTGTTCTTTCCTCATTCCCAACATTACCCTTCTAAGAGAGGGGAAAAATGGACTTAAATTTCTTAAATGCCTACTGTGCCAGACACATTAGTTACATCATTTAACCTAAGAGGCACAACAAAGTTGCAGATGAAGAATGAGAGACACAGAATAGGTGACTTCTTGGCCATGGTCACATAGCCAAGACACGCGCATGCACGTACTCTATAATAAATTCCTCTCTTATTCAAACCCTTGCCCAGTGACCTCACGAAAACCTCTCCCTGTTATTTCTTTCAGTCCCTTTGTTAATCAAATCAAAACAAAACCAAAGTAAAAATACCTAGAGGGCAGTAGTTATGATATTCTTCAAACCAAAAGAAAGCTACACATGGTAAAGGAAAACTATACCTAAGAACTTCCACACACCTTTCTGAGCTTGCAAGTTGATTTTAGAATATTTCTGAAACTATCATTATATCTCCTCTTTCAAATAAATCTGTTTGTCCTCAGGCTCCAGCGCTCATAATAAATAAAACACTTTCTAATGTAATGTTACTTTGATTACCAGCATTGCAACAGTACTTTTTCCAAGATGTTATTCTTCCCTAGGGTGAGGTCTTTGCACTGCAGGCTAGCAACCCAAAGCACCATTTACAACTCCGTTTCTATGAAGAAAAATGCTCTGAAAGTTCCAAAGAGCCAATGCACACAAATACTTGCAGGACACAATGTTTTTAAGTTGGGGACAGTTAATATTTATGAAATGTGTTTAAAACAAAACAGTGTATTTCAGCAGGAGCCTGCAGGAACAGAAGGCTCCTGCCCTCACTGCCCCTCGCACCCACGCCCCCTCAAAAAAACGTGATTGGAATTGTATAAAAATAATCTGCCACTCAGGCGTTTCAAAGTAAATCGAGGAAGAGCAAAAACATGGAATCAGAAATATAACAGTAGATTCCAATTTGCATACAAATAACACTGATAGTTTCCTTTAAAACTCTGGTTAATTTCCAACTTAATATATTTCATGTAAAATGAGAGTGCCCATTGAAGTATTGAAACTTCAAGATTAATATTCACAATAAGTCATTTTTTACATATTACATTTGGATTTTTTTAAATAAGAGCAAAGACCTATTGTGACCTAGAATTTGAAGATAATTAGAAAATCTCCTATTAAAAGGTTTTATCAGAAATCTAACTTGTTGGAGAATTTCAGTCATTATTTACTATACATGTAGATTAAATTCATTTCTTTTATTAGATTGTTTTATTTAAAGTAAGAGAACAAAAATCCTCAAAAGGATTCTTCCATAAACTTCTAACCAGTAGTGCCTAGAAACTTCCTAAGAAAAGTTTTTGCACTTTAATTTTTGAGAACTTATAATTTTATAAAAATATAAATTTACCAGTGTTATAAAAATATTGCCAATTTTTCCCTGTAACTCTGCTCATAATTACTACTTTATTTCATTTTAGGCATGCTAATGTAAAAATTAAATCTACCTTTTGGTAATTTTTTTTGAAAGCAGAAAAATCTAAGCAACAACATTTGTTTGGGGATTTCTTTGTAGTGTTTTGGGGTATCACCGATGATTAGATTTTTAAAAAATAACTTGATTCTAAAGATATAATCTTGAAACACAAAAATTTACAAATTATCAAAGAAATACAAAAAGACATTAAGTACTGAAAAAGGAAAATGTAAGAATTAAGTTTGCAAGCAAACCTGCAAAAATTACAAGAGAGTCATACTTCAAAAGGACTGGCTGGCCAAATAAAAAAACACAGCAAGTATTCAAAAAAAAAAATCCCACAAAATTACTAAGGCTCCTAGGTTTACACTAGACCATCCATAATGAGAAAACAGCAATTTCAGCACTATCATTGCATTCATAAAGATGGTGACATTACCTTCAGGAAGATGTGGCTAAGGAGTCTTAGGGGACAAAGTCAAGGTTTCATTACTTGAAGGACAAGAACCAATCACCTTTATTTTTATCTCAGGGTACAAAGTACTTTTTTCAATGGTAGAATGTCAAGTGCTTTGTAGTATTGAAATCAGAGGAAAGTGTCAGATTTTGCTTCTACAAAATGCACATTTTTACTTGTTGACTCTTTCTACTCCTCCCTTACCATAAGCACACAGGGCTTTATGTGGTTATTTTAAAGAGGATGCATACTTTGATTGCTATGCCTCTTCAGATACCTTCTTTGTGAATTTTTCAAATTTGCTCTGGCCCAAATATCGGTGTTCCCATATAGTTCTTATCCCACCTAATGCACACAGACACCCTTTAATATGTACCTGTAATCAACCACCCATGTTAACTTCTTGTTTAGCATATTATTAAAGCCAGGCTGCAAGTATAACCCTGTCATACAAGAAATACAGAAAATAAGAAAAATCATCTTAAAATAAGCTTCATGATGAACTTAAAAAGAGTAGTTACTTTAAGAGATTTAGAAACAACATAGATAAATTTAAAGTTTTTAGGGGAAAAAAAAAATCCTTAAACCCACGTACTAAATTTTGAATATTTCCACTACAGAAGTTAAATGCCCAAACTGATTTGGTATCAAAATTAAAGTGTCAGTAATAGAATTAAGTTATAACTCTCCTTCATCACCATTTTAACATACACTTAAAAGTGGAATTTATTGTTTTGCTGGAATACTTAATAACATTAATTTGAAATAAAGCTTCTAAATATTTCTGGGGCTATAATGCCAGTCTTAAAACATAATTTTTAAAATAAATCATTCCAAAAAAGGATGATCATAAAAAGATTAGCGTTTGGGGTAATTAACCCAGTTCCTATTTATCTATCCGTTCAAGAGGTAACTCAGTTTTAAGGATGTTGTTAGAAACATTATTCCACAGTGATTCAAACCTTTCAGCCTATGCACAACCTACAAATGCATAATCGTTTGAGATAAAAATTGCCTTTCCATCATTAAAAAAAAAAATCATCCTTGTTTTCTTTTTCAGGTCTTTCTGAACTTATTACCCTGCTTGGATATGCTGCACTCTTCTGGGCATAGAATTTCATAGCAGGTATCAAAATTACCAAGCCATAAAGCCAGCTTTATCAAACAATAATTTCCTATTAACAAGAACTTTGAGTGTATGACTCATTTTACACAAAACAAGTAGACGACAAATAATGATGGTTAAAATTAATATTTAAATAATTAAAAGAAAACTAGTAAGGATTTCTGATTACTTTTCTACTTTCTCATACAGCTTAACACCTGGAAACAACTGTATTGGAACCACCTTCCTGAAAGGTGTTAGCTGTTTCCTTTGTCTTAAGCACAAACAGAACTAACGTCACATTTCCAGAGAAGGGTGAGGATGAAATAAGGCGACTACAAATCAGCTTTCAGAAATGGGAAGTCAGTCAACGTTTTCCTCTCTGATAACCCTTTATTTGTGCAGCAACAGGGGAATTACAACACATTTTGGAAAATAATTTCTATTGGACCAACTCCTCACTTCGCTGGAAGTGGTCGGATCCAAGACTTAATTTCAACACAATGTTCGACTTATTGCTTGAAGCTACCGCAGCATAAAACTCGTCTTCGAATGGAAAATTTGACCAACTTCTATGAGGTAAATGAATACGAAAAGTAGAGGTGGGCGGGAGAGGCATACAAGTTTTTTCGGTTTTTGGGGGGAAGAGAGGGCGCATCCGAAAAAAGTCCTAAGCAATCAGAACTGTCTCTTAAGATGTAAAAGGATGTTATACCAGAGGGCTCAAAAGCTCCCAGGGTCACGGCTCCCCTAACCGAGGGAACTGGGGTTTCACTGCCACCTGGCATCTGGGGAACCCTGGCCTTGGATAAAAAGAGGGTAACTGGAGTAAAGTCGTGCTTCAGAACGACCCAGTGCCCGGGATCCCCTGCGAGACCCTGTCTTTCCCGGGACTTCCACGGGAGCGCTCCCGACCGCCCCGCGGGGGTCGGAGGAGAAGGCAGGGAGGTCCCGCGCCGGTCCAGGCGCCTCCCGGGTCAGTCGGGGATCAACCACCCCGGGGACCCCGGCCGAGGCCGGCGCAAGATAAACTCCCCGACCCCGAACTCCGCCTGCCGCTTCTCGGGGCTGGGCCTCAGCCACCGGTTCCACCGCCCTCCTCACCGCGGCTCCCGCCTACCTCGCGCCTCCCGGCCCCGCGACCTCCCCGCCGCCGGCCGGGCCCCCGCGAGGCTGCGCTTCCCGTAAACTCCCCGCCCCGCGCAGCCCCCTCCTTGCCTCGGCCCCGCCCCCGCGGGACCCTGGGCAGCGCGTGATTGGCCCGGCCGCGCCGTCACTCTCCGGCCGCGTCGCCTCCCTCGTTTCCTACAGCCTCGAGACCGGCAGTGAGATTAGTGCTCGCGGGGCCGCGGCGGAGGGTATAGTGCTGCTCTATTCGCTGCCACTCGCCCGCAGGTCCGCGCGCTCGCCCACCTGAGCCGCGCCGGGGCTGCGGAGCCACGGGCCAGCGTGCTCAGCCCAGCCTAGGAAAGAGGCAGCAGTCTCAGCGCGGAGATGGGGAGCTGGCGAAGTTGACGAGTCCCCCGCCCACGCTGCGCCCCTCCTGCCCAGAGGTGCGCTGCCCCTCCACGAGGTGCTAGCGCGCTGCCCTGCCCCCCGCCTGCGCGGGACAGCCCGCCCCTAGCCACGGGACCCGAAAACTTCACCCCAAGTCTGAAGAGTGGGTTGCGAGGGCGGTGCCCGGAGCTGGACAGGAGTCTGCTCAAGGGGAGCGGTCCTGGCGACTCGCCAGGAGTCGGAGGGCGGAGACCCGCTGGAAACTTTATCATCGCCGTAATTACTACGTTTTACTGTTTCTCTCCCCGCAGGGGCTGCAGCCAGCGGTCTGTCGCGCGTGCCTGTGTGCCCGAGGAGCCGCCCCGGGGAGAAGACCCGGCGCGGAGTTGTTCCCCCAGGGGAGATCCGCAGCCCAGCCGAGGGGGTCGGGCGGCCTGGATACGCAAGACCCAGCCCCGCAGCCGCGGACGCCCAGCGGCGGCGAAGTTTGGCTGCTGAGCAGCGCGGCGCTGGGCCACTGGACAGCGGGAGCGATGCCCGTGGGGGGCCTGTTGCCGCTCTTCAGCAGCCCTGCGGGCGGCGGCCTGGGCGGGGGGCTTGGCGGCGGCGGCGGCAGGAAGGTGTCGGGCCCCGCCGCCCTCCGCCTGACGGAGAAGTTCGTGCTGCTGCTGGTATTCAGCGCCTTCATCACGCTCTGCTTCGGGGCGATCTTCTTCCTGCCAGACTCCTCCAAGCTGCTCAGCGGGGTCCTGTTCCACTCCAGCCCCGCTTTGCAGCCGGCCGCCGACCACAAGCCCGGGCCCGGGGCGCGCGCCGAGGACGCGGCCGAGGGGCGAGCCCGGCGCCGCGAGGAGGGGGCACCCGGGGACCCGGAGGCCGCCCTGGAGGACAACTTGGCCAGGATCCGCGAAAACCACGAGCGGGCTCTCAGGGAAGCCAAGGAGACCCTGCAGAAGCTGCCCGAGGAGATCCAAAGAGACATCCTACTGGAGAAGAAGAAGGTGGCCCAGGACCAGCTGCGTGACAAGGCGCCGTTCAGAGGCCTGCCCCCGGTGGACTTCGTGCCTCCCATCGGCGTGGAGAGCCGGGAGCCCGCCGACGCCGCCATCCGCGAGAAGAGGGCAAAGATCAAAGAGGTGAGTGGGCCGCGCCAGAAATGCCTCCCGACGGGCCGTGTTTTTCAGGGAAAAACGTCAAGCCTCTGAAACTCTGAAGACTGCAACAATGCAGTGTATGGGGAGATGGAGGTGTGCTCCCTCCACCAGGTGCTGTGTCAAAAGCTGTTTCGTTTCCTGTTTTCAATATGGTAGTAGATGTGTCCAGTAAGTTCTAAGGTCAAATCTCGTTGCTTTTAACTTGCGTGCTCTTGCTCTGGTGAGCACAAGCCACACGAAGTAGGTATAAATTCATGGGCAGGTAATATACAAACCTCTTTCTCTGGCCGCTACACGGTTAATCATCCCACCAGTAACAGCGACCGCACTGATCAGCCCCCTGGTAAGGACTGGGGACGTGGCTTTAAAGTGAGGCTTCACGCGTGGTAAATGGAGCCCGCATACCCCGGGTTCAGCCATGTGGCCCTTGTCTGCCAGGTGGAATTCTGTGTGTACTTCCAGACTATAAAGGTGAAACTTGAGAACTTCCCATCATCGAGGGATACTATTGTTTACTTTTTTAAAAAATGAAAATATAAAAAGTCTTCTGCCTCTTGTATTTCTAATGCACAGCCAGAAATAAGGTATTCCATGTGATGCAACAGGTTTGCCTCCACAGCAGCACAATGGTGACAAACTTAATCCAGGATAAACATGGACTTTGATACGTCTTTCCTAATTTCCTTCTCGTAATTTTCAGTTAGAACTTGTAACATGTGATTAGGTCAGGACCAGCTTAAAGCTGAAGGGGGCCGTAAAAAGTCCTTTCAGGCTGTCGTTTTCAAGATGAAAATCGAAGGGCCCAGAGCTCCAGAACCCGTTAGTGATGAGTCAGGACTTGAAGCCTGAGGTCCGAACTTCCACCAGTCACCTGTCACCACGTTGTCTGTCGACATGCCTCCTCTCTGAGCTACTTCCCTGTGTGAAACGGTGCCAGCCTGGGTTTTACATAGAAAAGCTGTAGGAACCACATTAAAAGCATGTCATTCCAAATCTTGGTTCCATTTTCTAAAATATGAATGGAGGTAATATTTTTGCCATTTAAAAAATAATATAATCTCTGTGAAAGTAAATATTGTGTTTTCATATTGGGTAGGTAATCAGGAGAGGAAGTCCCTGATCCCATTTTCATAGAGTAAACATTTTTTAAGGTGGTTGAGAGGTATTTAGCGTAAGTGGCTGCAGAATGAAGGCAGCCACTTACACTAGGATTTGTGACTTTGTAATATAAGACCAGCTGAGTTTGGTTAAGCTGTAATTGAGCAAGTTAAAGTGGACTTGGATCCCTTTCAGTTTGATAAGAATGCCTTCATCCCTCCTGTGCAGGCAGCTTATTTCCACAGTCCATCGGCATATCTGCTTTTTTGAGACCCCTCCTCAGGGACAGAACCCTCCCATACTTGGGGGAATGGATTCTACTCTCCAAAACAACTCTCTTAGCAGTTTCCTTTCTCCATGAAATCCTGCCTGTGCTACCAAATCAGGAAGGTGGAACAAAGCTCTACCTCTTACCAAATCCTCCCAGACTCTTTAATAATATCCAACCAAAACCATAGGAAATTAACCCCAAATGATCTGTATCTGCATGTGTTTCTGTTAAATTTGAACAGTGTAATTCATACATGTCATGCATCCAAAGCCATACAAGCTGCCAGTTAGCTAGTACAAAGTCACAGTTGTCCAAGGAAAAGATTTTAATACTAAAGATACATAGATGTTAAGCTGTTGGTACTGACCAACAGTGATTACAAGTGCATTCAGAGCAGAACCAGTGAGACAGTAGCAGTCTCAGACTCAGGACAGCATATTAACAGTGTACATATCCATCCCTGGTAGATCCATGTTGTCTGTGTCCCTAAATCACAAGGTCTTAATTAACCATGTAAACGAGATTTATGTAGCCTCTGTCTAACATCTTAGCACCTAGATGTTTTGAAACCGCTCAGTCTTGCATAAACTAGTGGAACTAAATGTGTTCTTTAAAATTCCTTGTTGCTGTGAGAACCCAAAAGAGCCAGCATAATTAGCTTCAGCGTTTAGTCAAAGGCTAATGGGAAGAAATGGATTATGATTTTCCATCAGATTAGTTCAGGCAGATGTATTCCTTTGGAAACCAAAAGGAAAAAAAAATTATGATGCTGTTCTAAAAACTGTGCTGTAAATATTTGGCTTTAGAGAGGCAAGAGTGGTTGCCCATTATAAATAGGGCACTGGACTTTACATATTTGGATTCAGTTTCAGGCACCACTGTGGACTTTTTGTTATAAACAAAATCTTTGCCTTAGTTTTATTCTTTACCATTCTTGTGTTTTCTTTTTCTTTTCTTTTTTTTTTTTTTTTTTTTTTTGAGACAGAGCCTTGTTCTGTTGCCCAGGCTGGAGTGCAGTGGCACGATCTCGGCATCTCGGCTCACTCCAACCTCTGCCTCCTGGGTTCAAGCGATTCTTCTGCCTCAGCCTCCCAAATAGCTGGGATTACAGGCGTGTGCCACAACACCCAACTAATTTTTGTATTTTTAGTAGAGTCTGGATTTCACCAAGTTGGCCAGGCTGGTCACGAACTTGACCTCAAGTTATGGACCCACCTGGCCTCTCAAAGTCCTGGGATTACAGGTGTGAGCCACCATGCCTGATCTGTTCCTGTATTTTCTAATTCTCTTTATACTTAGGTTCTCTATCACACCTGAATGTACTAACACTTATAGTTAAAATTTAGAAAGTGCACTCAAATCTAACATGTTGGAAGCTTGGATTGTAATTTGAGTCAATCTGTTATTTTGTACTTGGTTCAAAGTCCGTCAATACTATTTTTTATATCTACAGCACAATTATGTTACTAGTACTGCAGTAGATTTTTAGCAACTTTGTGTCTTAGGGGAGATACTCTGTTAATTTCAAATAGGTCATTGTACAGAATGCTTCACAAAAAATGTTAAATGCTTTCCACTACTAATTTGATGGATGGTAAATCTTTGATGTAAAACTTCAAAATAGAATTAAGATCTTCCTTCCTTAACCCCTGTTAAAACTTTGTAAATTAACTCTGGGATTTCACTGAGATTTAAGATACATACATAGTGTATATTTATTTTCATGAGTTTGATCTTAAAATTGTACTCAGGTTGTCCTTTGCTTTAAAAAGCAGTGTTACAATAATGAAGCACAGAAGTTAAAATAGCAGCATGCAAGTTTTAGAAAAATAGTCCATTTACTTTTTTTTTTTTTTAAATCAGAAATCGTTTTTAGCTTCCCTTCTCCCCTGCCCTGCAACCTCTCCCACTTGCACAATGAGCCTGTGCTGTCCTTTAGGATTTAGAGTCTTAATCCAATTTGGAGGAAGATTTTTTTTTTCGTTTTCTGGAATTAAGGGGGGTCCTGAGTAATAGGGGCTGGGGCTAAAGACTGTCAGATTGTCAGAGGGGACTCCTTTCTTCTCAGGCTGGAATCCTCACCAACCTAAGTGGGGATTGGGAGTATGTGCAGACTGGCAGCCTTAGATTTGTCGTGTAAGGTGACCCTG